CATTATTCATAGGAGGTTTTTTTTGAATTTCTCGATTGGCCAATCTTCGTGTTTTCTGGACGGCCATCGTCCAGCCCCTGCTTATTCCTATTGCATGTAGGGTTGGTGCGACCCTTACCGGTCGATACGCTTCGCCGAATGGCCCGCTGTTCCTGGTCCTGGTTACTACCCTCTTCCATTCCCTCACAGGGTCTTCGAGGCCCGTACTGCCTTTTATTTTATGCACTAATTGACACTTGTTACAGGTTAATGCAGGTCCTCTTGCTTACGCGGAAGCATTTACGGCACAAACACAAAAAGATCGATACGGGATAAACGCGATTGAAAAATTAGCGGATGCATTCAGGTACCCACTTTAGCGTTTTGAAAAAAGTTGCCTGGTGTTTTTTTTTTTTTTTTTTGTAAAGTGATTGTCACTTCAAGTACCCCTTCTAGATGATTTCCGTAGGCATCTAGAAGCTCCGATAGATAAATGGCGTTATAATGGGACTGATGACTGAGGGCATACTGCTTGTTTTTTTGATAAACTTGCACCTCAGTAATAGCTTTTTGGAAAAAAAGAGAACGATCAACTGAACACTTTCGAGAAACGTTGGCACTGGCAGTACAAAATTAAAGAGAAAAATCTAAAGAGACAACTTCAGCACAGACAGGCTATCAAGTCACTGCACGTACAGGCTCGCTTATTTGGGAGATGTAAAAATGGCACTTCCAGTTTTTCATTAATTGTCAAAATTCGACTGTGTTCCTCGCCACGGTGGACTAATAACGCCAAACAAACTGCATATGTTAACACATGGAACATTTTAGGTTCCCATTCTCTTCCAGTCTTTTTGCCAGGAATATTCACTGTTTGTATTTTTTAAAATTTCTACAGCACTTCATTTGGCTGCATTCAGCGTTTAGCAGTGTTCTGCTGAAATTACAGGTTTTCGGACAAAATCCCGGGATATCTTTGGTGGCAAAGTACATGTTTGCACTCACTGCTTTCCCACAATTGACAATATTCGACTGTGTCCCTTTCATCGGCTCGCCTACAGTGCCAAACAAACATCCACAGTTTACATTTTTCAAAAAATTTTTCAAAAATTTCCAAAACACCTTGCTTTTTTTTTATCTGAGCAAATTTAGTAATAGCGAAGTAATAGCTCTTTGATTATATACGAACAAAATTACTGTGTTTTCAGGCGTCTTGTTTCGGTGTGTGCGGAAGCATTGGAAGCTAACGAAGCGGCTATTGGTGATGACCAAATCGAGTATCACAATATGCTTAAAAATGCATTCGCAGCAATGATCGAAAGGCTGCATGGTTACTTCGGTGAGATGGTATGTCTTTGCTCATCATATCTTTTTCACTGATTCCTTTTGGCCGTCTGAGAAAACCTAACTGAATCAAATCAGTTGCCAGAAAGCGAAATTTTTTGGATTTTGATTAAAATAGGTAGCTTTCCGACCCCATCGTTTTGGAAATTTACAGCTTTGCCATGCCTTTCTGGGCTGATTTGGGTTAATTTTGTCCATTTATGGCAACTGTCGATTGAACCAAATACAATTATGGTTTGATCTGGGCTTATCCGAATGATCTGTTTTCGTTTGACCAATTCCAGCCTCTGATGTAACTGATAAATTGCCTTTGAATAGCAATTTTTTGGGATTTTTACGTCAAATTTCTGTTTGTAGATGCCAGTGGAGCAGGATCATGCTGATAGCGTACCAGCAGTGTCTCAGGAGCAAAGAACCAACAGAAATTCCATGCATATTCTCGATTCGATTGGCGGAATCAACAGTTAATCGTAATCCTTTGCGTAGTTTCTGATGCTTGTCACTGTCGTTTCTCTTTTTTTTTAATTCAATAATTTATGAAAAGATTCGATGCAGTCATGGAAATTTCTGTTTTTTTGGCTTTGGAAATATTTTCCTTTTTTTTTGGAAACAATGCTGAATGGAACTGCCAGATGATATCACCTGGAATAGCTGCAAAATTCATTGCTTGGTTTTCTAGCTTTGCAGTTCTCCAGCTATTTTTCCAATTTTTCTGTATTCACTTTTTTTGCAGCTGATAA